AATAATAATATAATAATAATATAATAATAATATAATAATAATATAATAATAATATAATAATAATATAATAATAATATAATAGTAATATAATAATAATATAATAATAATATAATAATAATATTATAATAATATAATAATAGTGTAATAATAATATAATAATAATATAGTAATAATATAATAATGATATATAATAATACAATATAATAGTATTATATATAATAATATTTTTTATAATATTTTTTATATGCAATAAATTGTAATATAATAATATTTCAATAATATATCAATAATATAACTTTTGTTTAGCATAATGGTTGTATCATTTGTCAGTTATCAGTAAATTATTTATAAAAAGAAAAAGCGAACATTCTTGTTTTCCTCTCTTTTAGATTAATCATTTTAATGGAATGGTATAATATAGTGGCAAATGTGATATGATAATGATCGAAGTAAGACAAGAAAGTGTATCCCTTAATCTACTATTGAAGAACTTTGATCTATTACACTGTCAGCAAAAAAAAAGAAATTTTTTTCCAACAAATTGAAAGTAAAATAGTAAAATTCAACATTTAGTCTTAATTTGCCTCACTTTTTGAACCAATATTTTTTAGTTGGAAGAATGATAAACTTTATTGCCTTTATTATTATCAGTATTGCTATGCAGTATATTGATATCATTATCATAAATGGAATAATTGTGTGTTATCTTTATCCAACTGATAGCCAAAATTAAGCATTCTTTCTTTTACTAAATGTTTTGGAAGTAAATTCTTTGAGATGAGAATTGCCGCGCATGCTCAGTGGTTCATATTTTAATCCATCCTATTTGAAAAATTTATTTACTTTCCCTTTAAATTTCAATTTAAATTTACAAGCAAATGGTTTTTCAAGCAATTCATTACCTAAAACTAATTATATCCTGTACAAAGTTAACCATGAAGATTATTGTACAATTTATCACTCAGAGAGTTATTATATAATCTATAATCAAATCTATCGATTTGTTATGCCTTTCTTCGAAGCATCAGGTATTTGAACGGTTAAACTCGTACCTGAAATGACCTTGGCTGATATCTCTTTAACGAAAATAATATGATAAAGAAATCAACTCAAACGATTCCTTCTCATTATATTAATTATTATCACGACGAATAGCAAATCAGCAATGTTCGGTCTATCTGATATTGTTTGATAATGTGATAATTAGAATTATGGGAAGAATATTCGTCCAATACTATGCTAGCTTTCTTCTCAATTGATCTTGATAAATGCATTTGCATGTGTGTTTGTGCATGTATGTGTGTATGTGCATGTATGTATGTATGTGACAATTATTATAACAGCTCATGGTTTTATTCATGATTTTCCGGAGAGAAATCAATGCTGTAAATGGATGGCTGACTTGATGCATTTAAATGACACTTCATGCTGCTTCTTTAAGTTCTTAATAAACGGATTCGAATTTACTTATTATTCTCTTGAGTGTTTCTTTCGAGTCAATAAATACTAATTTTGGCTCGTTTTTCTCTTCAACTTTCAAAATGAGTTCACTCGTAAATTTAGTGAAATGTGAAATTTGCAAGTTTATAAGAAGTTAATTATTCAAATTTCTAAGTTTTATTCGAAATATACATGTTTAACAGTGCAAAATAATTGAAAGGAATTTAATTTTAACTCAAATATTACCCTCATTTCCGCCTTTTTTGATAAAAGGGAACTTGTTTCTTACTTTTACTTTTCATATGCCTTAATTGAAGTGAATGAAATTTAATCAGTTTTTTTCATTAAAGACATTTCAAATCCATTTCTGAGAATTCTTTTGATAATTCATTGAATTGTTTGCGCACATGAATGATTTCATAAATTGAATCACCAATTATGGAATTGCACATTGTGATGCGAATTTCTAGAATAAGTAGATGCAACGTATGAAATGCATTGCATCGTGCAGTATTGACTTCACTTCTCTTCCATCTCTAACAGATTTGCTGATTGACCAATATTTCTACTTCCAAACCAATGAACAACCAATGATAGCATTAGTAATGTTGCTAGCAGTATTACTGTTATCATTATTTTTTATTACTATTGTTACTATTATCATTATCATTATCATTACCATTATTATTATTATTATTATTATTATTATTATTATTATTATTATTATTATTATTATTATTATTATTATTATTATTATTATTATTATTATTATTATTATTATTATTATTATTATTATTATTATTATTATTATTATTATTATTATTATTATTATTATTATTATTATTATTATTATTATTATTATTATTATTATTATTATTATTATTATTATTATTATTATTATTATTATTATTATTATTATTATTATTATTATTATTATTATT